AGAAAACAACCAGGCTCAGAGAGCACTGAGAACCCAACTGTTGAGTCCTAAGCTAAATGTATTCTATTAAAATGGAATAGTTCCAGCCATAAAATTGCTAACAGATCAGCAAACAGGAAGCACTGAACAAGGTGAAACAGGGCAAAGGGAGATCACTTTTTTTTCTTGTTATTCTCTCTCACCTTTGAGTGAAGATAACTTGAGGGTTTCTTTATTGACAAATACATTGTTGCATTACAATCTAGTTGATTGCCCAATTCATAACATTATTTTGTTCATTACACCTGCATTCCTCTTCTTGTCCCCAGCTTCAATAAATGAAAGTGGGAAAAATCCATGCCCACTTCACACTCCAACCTTTGGGATAATGGCTTTCACTCTTGACATTTCTGTTGCAGCAGTTCTTTGATTTCAAGAACTATAAAAGTCAAAGTATGACTGTCTCAACGAATGCAGCAGTCATCCCTGGTCAAGACGTGGATACTGTTTATGTATATTGAATAATATTTATGAAACAGCATACTCTTTTCTCACAGTTTATAGGTCCATCAAGGAAAGCAGTTTGAATTCATTTAAGAGAAGCATTTTAAGGCATGTTTAAACTAGAGTTAATGTTTAAAACATTAACCATTTCCAGTGCTGTTGGCTTTAATTAGCAAATTTGGACTCTATTAATAGTTTCCAAATTCATCAGGCACATTTATAGAACATTTAGATCTTCAGTGCATCTGGTAAAAGATATTAGAGGTATGATGCTGACAGCTATGAGTATTTTTGTCAGTGAATAAAGCTTGAGTGAGATTGTAGCAAAACAAAGCAGTGTCGGGATCTGACAACTTAATGCCAATAGGACATTGAAGAATTTGAGTAATTTGTTGCCTTCAGCAAAATTCTTCCATAAGCAACACAGGAAAGGAATAATGCTGTAAAAATGTTTTTTAAAAAAACACTTGTAATTAAGGACATTTCAACAGGTCTTGAGGGCAAGAATTTTTCAGAATGATATCTGGAAATTAAAAACAATTCATGCATAGAAGACAGAACAGTGTAAGCTGTGGGAGGGGAAACTCTGGGACATCTGTTTCCTTTATTCTTTTATGCTTTCTGCTATTTTTTCCTCTCTGGGTTTTTGGATATGTAGTCATTCTCATTTTTAAATAGCTGTCAGATAGAATGGACGAAGCTGTGATCCTATGCATATACCCTATTCAACTAAAGCCTTGGTCTCTGTCTGGAATGAAGCAGTGACAGCTTTAGATTGGATCACATCTATGCAGACTCTGTGCACAGATCCCAGTATGCCCTCAGGTTTTCAGAGGGCCTCCTGGGATGAAATAGCAGAAACATTGCCTAGATTAACACTGGAGGAATACAAGGAGTGAATCCAGCTGGAGACAGGTAAGAGCCTTTATTAGGACTTACCTTGGGGCAATAAGGGAGACGAAACATGCTTATTTCTCTGCTCTTATTGTGACCTCTGGCTATCAGCCAGGTTGACCCAATTCCTCCTAGGTCAAGGGATTATCTTCAGGGTCACTGTAAGAACTATTCTTGACACCTGATGGGTAAAATTGCTCAGATTTGCTCTGAGTTGGACTCTAGCTGAACAAGTCACTGGAGAAGATTTAGGCACAGTCGTGTGATGTTATCTCGGAGGAGTTTGAGTCTGCTAGTCCTGAGGAGGTAGACAGGATCCTCAGTGCTGGGGGAGCATCCACTTGTGTTTTATATCCATGCCCTTCTGGCTGGTTAAAGCCTCCAGGGAGGGAATGTATGGATGGATCTATGTGATGATTGCTGCTTGAGAGAGGAGATTGTTCTGCTAGCTCTTAAAAATCAGTGGTCTTTTTCCTCTTCAAGAAACCCTTGCTAGATCCTACTGATCTGGACAACTTTAATACAGTCTCCAAACTTTTTTTTTCTAGGGAAGGTTGTTGCTCTACAGCTCCAGGGGATCCTAGAGAAAGCAGTTTATCTAGACCCTTTTCAGTCAGATTTATGACCAGATCATAGTACTGAAATGGCATTGGTCACACAGGTGGGTGACCTTTGGTGAGCTCAGAATGGATGTAGTATTTCCATCCTGCCCTTTTTGACCTCTTAGTTGCTTTCAATACCATCAACCATTGTATCCTTATGGGTCAGTTTAGGGGAGTGGGAGTGGGAGTGGGAGCTTTGTGGTGGTTCTCCTCCTTCCTTCATGGCTGGTTCCAGTTGGTGTTGGGGGTTGGTCCCAGACCCCTGCTTTTTGGGTTGCCTCAGAACTCTACCCTCTACCCCTTCCTGTTTAACATGAAGCCTCTGGGAGAGTATCTTCAGCATCCCTGGCCATCCTTGCACCTGGGGGCTGTGTGTGCCTGCATGGGGAAGAACAGGTTCCAGATCATTCTTGCCAAAACAGAGTGGATATGGGTTTGGGGCCACTTGGACCCTGGAAATGGAAAGTTTCCATCCTTGACGCTGAGTGGGGTGGAACTGCACAATTTGGGTGTCTTCTTGGAGTCACAGCTCTTGCTTGAGAAGCAGGTGGCAGCTCTGGCAAGGGCAACCTTTGCACAAGTTCCTTCTGTGTTCCAATTGTGCCTCTTCCTGGATTGGGATGGCTTGTCATTCACACCTCCCAGCTGGATTATTACAACATACTCTACATGAGGGTGCCCTTGAAGACCATCCAGAATCTACAATTGGTCCACAATACAGCGGTGCAGGTAGTTACGGGCACTTTTCACTATGCCCATGTGATGCCATTACTCAGGAAGCTACACTGCTCCCAGTTGGCTTCTGGGTGCAATTCAGGGTTATCACCTTTAAAGCCCTACATGGCATAGGACCGGGTTACTCAAGGCACTGTCTTCTGCCTAGGGTATCTGCCTGCCCCACACATTCTGGGTCTCTTCATTAAAACAATGCTATCTTGTGGAACCCAGGAGGCACACCTTCTACGTGGTGGCCCCTATCTTTTGAAACAATCTTTCTCCTGACATTCAGTTGTTATTCTGGCCTTTAGAAAGGCTGCCAAGACCTGGCTCTTTCCCCAGGCATTTGGGTCTTGATGTATTGGAGTCCTGATTAGATGATGGCGTTATTGCTGTTTGGATCACCATTTTATTGTTTTATTGTTTCATTATTGTTTACAGATATATGTATTGCATGTTTTGTATTCTTTTTCTTCAGTTTTGTTGGTTTTTGTTTTTGTTTTTGTTTTTTTGTAAGCCACTCAGAATCACTTTGATTTTGTTGGGCGGTCATATAAATGTTTTAAATATACTCCAGTTTCTGTTCAGGTCATATAAACGTTTTAAATAAATAAGTATATGTCATGACAATTAAAATAAGTGAATCTATGCCAGAGAAGATATGCTGAAAATACACTACTTAACTCTAATCTCCAGACCATTTACTAAAGAGAAGTTATGATGGTGTCAGAGATTTGTTCATCTCTTGTATTTTTTCAGATCAAGCATCAATTGGAAAAGACCTTTAGACCATATGCATATTGTGTTGTGCACACTATTTTTAAAATTTTGAATACATAACTCTTGGGGGCCTGGGCCAGACATGCTTCAGCTTTTTCTTGCATTTTGCAAAAGTGAAAATGTATAGAAATCAAGGCATCCATTTCTTTATTAGTACTTTAATGTTTTGGATTTTTTTTCCTGTTCCCCAGTGTTCCTAGCCCTAGTTTCTAGTCTGCACTCACATATTTATTCATTAGATTTATATCCCACCTTAATTTTGTACAACTCAAGGTTATATACATGCTGCCCCTCCTCCTATTTTTCCCACAACAACCCTGTAACATAGGGCTGAGAGAGATTGACTGTCCCAAAGTCACTCAGCCAGCTTCCATGCTAAGGGAGGAACTTGCAGTCTAACACCTTAACCACTGCACCAAACTAGGACTCAATGCTGGTATCCCAGAAGAGAAATGTATTGGTTCCAGTAGATCCTTCTTTCTAAGTCAAACAGTGAACATTCAGGATTGTAGAAAATAACATATTTTTCTGTATGTCCTGATGAAAACTGTTCCCTATGTCTACAATTCATGTTTTTTAAAAAAGTGCAAGAGCAATTAACTTTTTAGCAGCAAGCCCAGATTTGGCCCTAGGTTTAAAGGAATGCTAAAAATCTGCACCTACTATTAATATATCGGCAGACGTTGCTATTATCATTGGGTTTGATCCAAGCAATTTAAAGCAATTCTAGCGCTAATGATTTTCAGTTGGGGAGAAAGCAGCCAATGAGTCATTTTCCTGCTGAAATCAATGGAACTTTAAAAACCTCACTGGATTAGGTAATTATCTGTTCCATGAAGGGACTGTATATGTTTATGTTTGTCATAAGACAAGCCTAAAAGATAGTTCTGTTGCATGGTATTTCAGTTGCATAAAATGGCCATTGTGGGTTAGCAATATTGGTTGGGGTTTATTTAATCATGATACAAGTATTACATGCTATATTTTTAAATAATTATTTTATTAGCAACTACCATTTCACCTACTATTATTCAAAAGATTTGGAGTCATAATACTGTGTGAAATTCAGTCCTGAAGTCCAGCAAGATTTTCCTTCCACTTTTCCTTCCTTTGTGATGTAGCTGAAATAAATAAATAAAGCAATAAAACAATATTAGGTTGCATCAGGAGATAAATAGTGTCCAAAGTATAGGAAGAAGTAGTTGAATACTTGAAAGGATGTTCTATTATTTGTTCTCCATTTTTCCAAAGTCCAGGACACAAAATAATGGATTTAAATTATAGGAAGGAAGAGTCCAGTTGAATGTTAGAAAAAACTTCATAACAGCAAGAGCAGTTTGACACAGAATCAGTTACCCAAGAGTTGGAGGGATGTGTTCAGGTAGAGGCTAGATAGCTGTCAATCAGAAAATTTTTAACTTGAATTTCTGCACTGACCAGGGGATTGTACTCAGTGACCTACCCTCCTCTTCCAATTTTAGGATGCTGTAGTTCTACAATAATGATCATTTCATCTTCTTCCAGTATATGACGGCTGCTGCACCTATGCAAGGGACCTACATTCCCCAGTACACTCCTGTGCCTCCAACAGCTGTCCCTCTTGAAGTAAGTCTATCTTGTCTATTTTTATGCAGGTAAAGTCTTCCTTGTTTTAATCACTTGGGATAAACATCCCTCAGAGTTTTAAACAATGGGATCACTTTTTTACTTTTTTTAATCTCCCTGAAGACATATATAGAACTTTGGTTCTTGTTTTCATCCAAGACAAAATGGAATATCCCATTGGGTAGCTTGTTCCCATTGGGTGGGAAAGGGCACAAATGCCCCCTGTCAAACTGCAGACACTAAGCAGAGAAGGCTTCAAAGAATGGTTTGATTCTATCCTTAGCATATGGATAAGACCCATTAATGATTGCTGGAAGCCAAGAGCTACCACAAATTAGATCTTAGTTAAAGAAAACTTCTTCTTCTATATGCAGACCTGGAGGATGCCCCACTGAGTGAGTGCTTTTTCATCCCCAATGAAGGATTTGCTCCCTCCTTCCTTGGGGATGAGGCCTGCTGATTAAAGTCCCATGAAGGAGTATGTCCTTGGCCCTGTAGACCACAAGCTGCCCAGAGGACTATCATCTGGGTTCTGTTGCTCTTCAACTTGATAAAGCCTTCTAGACAATCACTTGAAAGGAAGAAGAGGGATGTTTGAAGGAGAAAGAAAAGTCACATTCATTTTTAAATTTGTATATTTATGTTTTGGTTCCTCACAATTTCACCATAGATTACTTTCCACCCAAAGATACATAATGGACACAGAATGGGCTTGATGATTGTGTCCTGAACTCTGCCTTCCGTAGAGCAGATTCATTTGCCACTCCTTTAATAGTTAAGAAAGCCTTTATTCTTTAAACAAAATTTAAGTACTGGGGCTCAACAAAAAAACTTTGTATTATTGTCTGTGCCTCAGTGATCATCCTTTTCACAGTATAGTAGATTTCTGCCTTGTCATGTTATTGATATTAATTGAAATACCATTTTTGAACCTTGCTACAATGATTTAAAAGCTTGGTGAGCTGGGATTGTAAGTATTTCTGTAAAATTATTGGCTCTCATAATCAGAAAGAAAAAAAAATTATCTGTAATAAAAGAGATTTAGGTTTTTAGTTCTGCATATAAAGTGCAGTTTTAAAGTTATTTTTTAACAGTGCTCACCTGGCAGCTATTACTGGAGCACAAATAGTTAAATAAGATGCTTTCAAGTAGAAGAATTAATCTGATTTTCCAAATATCAGAAAACTGATCTTATAAACATGTTATTTTGTCAAACTCTTAACGACTATGTACACAATGTTGGATTGCTATGTACTGCTGTATCATTTTACTTTTGTATTATATATGGAAATACTTTTAAGTGATCCAAAATGTTTCTACATCACTATTCAAAGCATGAGATGGATATTATATTTTGTGCGTCACAATCCTCGTGTATTTTTTCAGAAAAACATAAAATATCCTTCCTCGGTTAGGCCAAGGCTCATCTCAGTCCACATTTTGTTTCTCACGTTGCCAACCAGATGCTCACAATCAGAAGATGCCTTTGTCCCTCCCTATTGGTCCCCTGCTGCTGGAGTTACTCCAATCTGGAGGTAACGTTGAGGTTTCAAGGCCAATATCTCCTGAAAGACCTGCTCTCTATCAAAGTACCCAATTAATTACGCTGAGCTAGTGAATTCCCTAGGTCAGTTATAGCTGTGTGTGAAGAAGTGCTTCTTTTGCCCCACTCTAAATCAAAGTTTCACCAAGCTACCCACTATGACTTTCAGGTCTTTTTTCTGGTTACTTATGGACACTTCAGACCCAATCGTTATTTATGTCGTGTAAAGTTATGTAAACATTTATCAGCTTACATTTACTTAAACTGAATTGCACTTGCAATTTGGTTGTCTGTTCACTAAGTTTTAAAAGATAATTCACAATCACTTTTGATTTTTGTCCCTGAATAATTTAGCATCACCCACAAACCTGAACTGCTTGGTTCTTACTCCTAACTAAAAAAGCACTGGTCCCAACACAGATACTTGAGGGACTTCACTTCTTATTTCTCTCCAATGAATAAATGTCCATTTACTCCGATTCTTTGCTTACTGTTTTTTTTACCAGTTCACAGTCCATAAAATAATAGATCCTCTTATCCCATAATCACTAAATTTTGTAGTAGGATGGGGCAAGATTTACCTTGATGGAATCCATACTACTTTTCTTCACCAACAATTGTTTCTCTGTGTGCCCAGTTATTTTTAATTTGATTACTGTTTCTGCTAATTTGCCTGAAACAGACATTAAGCTGTAATTTCCAGGATCTCTCCTGGGCCCTTTTTTAAAACTGATGTCACATTGGCTACCTCCTAGTCTTCTGATACTGAGCCTGTTTTGAGAGACAAGTTACATATTTTTGCTAGGGGGGCAGTAATTTTATATTTGAGGTTTTAAAGAATTTTCAAGTGGGTGCCCTCAGAAAATGATGATTTGTTATTGGAAAATAGAATATTTTCTCTTATTTCCTTAAATTTGCTTTGGTTGTTTCAGCCTCTTCCCTAAGAAATTGAATATACACTCAGGTATCTCTCTTATACCTTAGGTAGAAAAGACAGATGTAGAGAATTAATTCAGTTTCTCTGCAATCTCCTTGTCTTCTTTGAGCATCTCCTTCACACTGCTCTTATCTAACAGTTCAACTGATTGTTTTCTGCTTTGAATATATTTATTTATATTCAAAGCAGAAAACAAATAATATATTTATTTATTTATACATCAAATTTATATCACCACCCAACTCCCCCACAAGGCGGTTCACAACAAAACAATTTAAAATCAGTAAAAGCATAAATAATACAATATAAAATACAATTATTAAATACAATAAAATCCAAGAGATAGTGAA